ATTAGACGGTAACTGAATAGGCGCATTAATTGCCATGTACTTAAGAGCAGAAATTCAGGAGTACCGGTTGGTATCATGATTCCAAGACCTTTTAAGCATGATAAATATTCTGAATAAGCACCTTCCACGTCGCCCTAAATTTAACGTATAATTAATTAATGTTAATGATTATCTGAATTTGTATTTTACCTTATTAAACAATTCATCTCCATATTCTTTTCGTTTCCAAAAGTCAGCAGGAATGGGGCCTCGTAATGGATCCACATATCTTACAATTTTTATCAAGCAGGCCAAAACAATAAAAGAGTTAATTATCCACAAAGATATGGAGTAGCAGATGTTTTGGAGCATAAAAAAATTGTTGACATCTATATTAATAAAAAAGAAGATATTTCTCATACAGTAATGTTAATAAAGGCATATCAATTTTGCAAAAATATAAACCACTTAGAATTGAAGTGAATTCGAGAGTTTGTGTTATTCGCATTTTATTCTACAACCAGTTTTCTGGTTATTCGGAAAATGTTATGAACGAAATATTGATACGTGTGTTCTATGATACATCCTCAAACCGAAATTCAAAACCTAATCTACGGCGCACTGTGAGAAATGAGCAGAATTCCAAAATTCAAATAGTCTAGAATTTTAAGGATGCGAATCAACTTAAAAAATTAATACTGAAACCTTCCCACATACCATTAATATATGACTTACTACAAACAATCTACAAAGATTTTGGTAAATATTTAATTAGTTCGATAACCATTCCATTAAAAAATGTTAAACATTACGCCCAAATTCATAAAAAATAAAGAAAACTTTAACTGCTTTATAAATCGAAAATTTGTACGAAAATGTCACTCTATCATGATATAAAAATTAAGGTAGTTTCATTACTACTATTTTTTGATTATAAAGCAGATTTTTGACATTTCCCCAGATGTAAACATTAAGCATAGCTTTGCCACATTAAAATTTTTTGAGGGGAGATTTTCTTTTAAATATTTGAGATTTAATAAACAGTAAAATTATATAAAAAATAGCAAATTGATGTGTTCGATAATCAAATTAGAATGCTTTTCTCAAGAGATTAATGGATCCTTTGAATAATATCGGTTTGCAGAGATAAAGAAATAAAATAAAATCCAGTTTTGAAACGTTTATTTATTAAATTATTTTCTTTCATTTTATTTTACATAAAATAAATATATTTACAGAACAAAACTCCTTTTTTAATAGTCCGAAAAAGACGCATTGTTAGATTTTTCGTCATTAAAGCACAGTGCGAAACCAGGCTTCGGAGAAGGTTGAATGGTCTCATTCCCCCCACAATTAAAGGAGCCAAAATTCAGAATTCTCCCGAAGTGAAGTATCTAGAAGTAATTCTGTATACAAAACTATCGTGGAAATCTAATGTGGTACACAAAACCTCTAAAGAATTGACAGCATTTTGGCAATGTAAACCCGTATGGTGGCGTTACGTGTTTTATAGAGCTGAATTTAAAAGGCTCAATAAATCTTTGTATTAAATATTAGTATTAAATCTAATCCCAAGTTCTTCTGGAGTTATATTAAATCAAAGAAAAATTGCTCTAATATACCTGCATCGGTCCAGCTTAAGGGGGTGTCAGCCAACTCCATCTCCGAAGCTGTTAATCTTTTTGCTGATTTTTTTTCTTCCAATTTTATTTCAGGTAATTCTGATAATGATTTTATTCCTGAAGATCTTTTGACAAATTTAGATACTCCCATTAACTTCGGGAAATTAAAGTTGACAGACGAGGGGGTAGCTAATGGCATTAACCAGCTTAAACTATCCACTAACACTGATGTACATGGCCTCTCGGTTATTTTATTTAAAAGTTGTCCTTCACTAAAGCGTGTATACAAAAAAATTTGGTCGACAAAAACATTTATTAAATCCACATTTCTACAGTTATCGAGGAAGCTTTTACATATTTAAGAAGCTTAGAATAAGCTGTTGATAAAAAGTACAAGGTTTGTTTATTTATATATATCATATGCGAAAGATCGGACTTTTGAGTTAATACCACTCATTAGGCGCTGCACATCATTATGAGTGATTTCAGACGATACCTTAATCCGTTTTGATCGAAGGTCTTCCTTGGTTTTGGCAATTTTCTTTGTTTTTAGAAGTTTAATTTTCATTAAAGCCCAATACTTTTCAATTGGTCTTAGTTCGGGGGCAATTCGTTGGGTTGGCTTCTTTCGGTACAAGATGAATATTTTTCTCTTCATACCAGTTCTTGGCCAAATTTCCACAATGACAACTTGCCAAATCTGGCCAAAAGAGCGCAGAGTCCGTGCGACGCTGTACCAATGGCAGAAGTCGTTTCTGCATACACTCTTTGACGTAAATTTGTTGATTTATTGTCCCAGAAGTTACAAAAACGTTGCTTCGCAAACCACATTTACAAATCGCTTGCCAAATCAAAAATTTCTTTGCAAACTTATCCACTTTTTTTCCTTAAACTTAAGTGCAACATCGCCTCTGCCCTTAGCCGTATAGAAACTCTGACCTGGAAGCTGATTGAAGTCCGCTTTAACGTAGGTTTCATCGTCCATGATTATGCAGACGAAATCGTGAACATAGTTATCGTTCAACTTTCGCGCTCGTGTTTTGGTGGTGGTATTTTGTTTGTTGTTTCTGTTTGGCGATAAGGGGACTTTATATTATTGCAAACCTCTCTTCTTCCGAACTTTTTGAACGTATCCTTGCGACATGTTAACTTTTTTAGCTACATCTCTGATAGAGTCCAGGATTTTTCTTAAAAATACGTACCACTTCATTGGCCTTTTTTTAAGTAAATCCTATTTTTCGGCCACTTCCCACTTTTCTTTCTGTACTTAAACGTTCGTTAAACTGGTTGAGCACATAAATTACAGACTTAGGAACTTTCAATGATTTCGCGATATCATTGCAAGAAAAATTTGGATTTTCTCCTTTTTTGCGCACAATTAATTTGCGTACTTCTGCTTTCGTATAGCTCATTTTGAGAACTATTACAAATTCCGTAAAACAAGTAATGACTTAATTAAGAGTATTAAGTTGGCTAACTGCGATACGTATTTTTTCTGGGCTACTGTTATTTATGTCGCGACAGTACGAGTATTTGTGCGACCAAAATTTTTCGTATACACCCTTTAATTGCGACTTTGAGGCACATTTTTAACATGTCTCTATCTGCCGGGGTTTTCCTCGATGACTGGAAATTTACTTTTATGCCGCCAATTCTTAAAAGTGGTAATACAAATTGTATTGAGAATTATAGGCCGATTTCTAAGCTTACCACTGTCTCAAAACTGTTTGAGTCCGTAGTTAAAGATAAAATTTACTTTGCTGTTAAACATTTATTATGTCCCAACCAACATGGGTTCGTGCCGGGTAGGTCTACGTTAACCAATTTAGCTGCTTTTACAGAGGACTGTTTGGAAGCCTTTCATAAGGGATTCCAAATTGACGCTATATATACCGATTTCTCTAAGGCTTTTGACAGGGTGCCTCATCGAATATTGATAGCTAAACTTGAAGGCCTGGGCTTTCATTCAGAGTTTCTGAAGTGGATCACATACTATCTGTATAATAGACGCTGTGTTGTTCGTTTTGACAATGTATCGTCTTATTCGTTTGTCCCTCCTCTGGTGTTCCCCAGGGTAGTGTCTTAGGTCCGTTATTATTCGTTATCTTTATTAATGATATATATTCCTGTTTCTCAAAGTGTAAGATTCTTCTATATGCGGATGACCTGAAGATATACTATGAAATTAAAAATATAGAAGACTCATTGATTCTCCAGGGTGAGCTTGATAATCTGTACTGTTGGTGTGCGCGTAATCGTCTGTACCTCAATATTGGTAAATGTCATTATACCTCTTTTGCAAAAGTGATTAGTATTGTTCCAACCTCTTACCGTTTTTCGAATGTCCCGCTAAAATCAATTACTGATTTTAAAGACTTGGGTGTTTATTTTGACTCCAAGCTCACCTTCACCACCCACATAAACTTTATTGTTTCTAAATCATT